AGAGGATACCGTTGCATTTGTAACGAACAATGTCACGATATTACGAAGATGCATCTTAACAACAAAACAATCGAAGGAAATAAGTTTAGTCGTTCTATTCACTGGAGAAAAAATACAAAAATGATTCGTTTATTTTATGAAAGAATACTACATACAGGCATCTATTTTTCATCAAATAAATTTCGAAAAATTATTACTAATTATAAAAATTAATTAAAAATGTAGCTTTGAGATCAAGAGAAAACAAAGTTTAATTACTAATATATCACTACTAAAGTCTAAAATATTAATAATATCAATTATTAGTATCGTAATAATTAGACTTTGTTTTGATCTCAAAGCTACATTTTTTTTCCCTTTTAGCAATAATTCTTTAGCAATTTTTGTTAAGATAGAATTTTGAAAACGTCAAAGAGAAGTACTTGGATTTTTTTTCTTATAATTCTTATTTTTCTTTGCTTTTGTCATTTCGATAAACAATAAGAAATATATTTACATATTTTTGTTACTTAAATTTCAACGAGCACGTTGCTTGAAACACCCTCAACTGACTCGACTTAACTCACTCTCTGTGAAATATCTATCGGAAGAATCGCACAGGAAGCGAAAAGAGCAACTCCTTTCCCGGTAAAAAAGACACGTGAATTCGCATATAAAGGAGATGCATCGCACGCGAGTCGAGCAAGGTAAAAAGAACATTTTCCACAATTTCTCCTGGCGCGCGGAGGACAAAGCACGGAAAAGGATCCACGACACCTTTCCAGCTACGTATCCGATTAAGTAACGGCTCGTTTAACGATTAACCAATTATCTTTGCGCGATTCGCGGGCGTGCACGCAGCCTTGCGATTACCCAATAATATATATCTCGCCTCGTCGATGCCTTTCTCTTTATTATGAAAAATCCGCGCACAATTCGCCGGTGCTCTTGCAGGGGGAAGGTCAGGTTTGCGCCGAGAAATGCACGAGCAAGGAGGCACGCGCCAGATTTTCGTTTCAAAAAGATGAACTTTAAAAAAAAAAAAACGCCAATAAAACGCTCTAATCGGCAAACTATGATCGATTATTATGGAATTTTTTTACAAGCATTTCAACGATAGTCAAAAGAAAGAAATATATCTGTTTGGTTAATTTTATTTACTTTGATAGATCAGGAAAAAATTTTCTGAATTGGTAAAGATTTAATTTGAAATTTTTTTTTTTTTTGAAAAAATGTTTGATTCTAGTGGAAATTTTGGATATGTACAATGATTTCAGAAAGTATTCGCACAAATTTATTAATTTTAAAAATGCTGTAATTTAAAATTTACATGGAACAATTTTTTTTGTCGAGAAATCTCTTTTAGAGAACGAAATCTAAAGTTTTATTTTTTTTATCTTTTGAATACAATTTAACAACAATTTTACTTGAAATTCTTTTTCACAACAACTGAATAACAAAACGTTAAAAATTAAATAATCTTTTCCGAAAAGATTTTACTTTATCTCCTTTTCAATATGAATTTCACTTTCGCTTTCAAAGAGATTTCCTGTTGATAAAAAAAATAGTTTCGTGTATATTCACTTCTTTATATTCTATATAAAGACTTTAATTAAATCCACGACTTTTAGATTAGATAAATTTCCTAGAAGAAGATTATATATATTCGCATATATTTGTAATACTTGACATACAGCGTCTGACATTTATACGAAATCCAACCTTTAAATCGGTCGAGACGCGCAAGACACGTAACTACATTCTTACCTTGAAAAAAAGATGAAGGCTACAAGTTGTTCGTCCCTTTGACGGATCTCTGGCGATCGTTACACGCTAGATCTCGGCCTCGTTAGATCATGGAAAGCTGAAAAGGAAGCGGCCAGGACGGAAGCGGCGTCAGTCCTTGCCAGAAATAGAGCGAATCGAGCTCCTGTCTGGCTCCTGAGCGGAATATTTAATCGCGACGAGACCCGAACAACGATCTAATTCCCGCGCCACGGTTAACACGCAGCCGATGTCCTCGCCGCAGAAGACGCGAATGACTAAGACTTCGCCGAGACGAAACGTTTTCCAAGAAACTATTAAATCGTTTCGAGGATTTGCAACAATGATCAGGTTAAAGGATGAATCCTAGCTTGGCCGAGCGGCTCAAGGGCGCGTGAAACTGGCTGATAAAATCCAACCTTACGAACTGCGCGCGAATGAAAAACAGTTTAGAAACAGTTCAGTTCGATTTTATTTTTTAAGAAATTGTTAATTTATTCGTGTCAGAAAATCTTTATATTGCCTCGATATAAATAAAATGTTTCAAATATCGAAGATCTCTTTTTCCTGCATCATTTAGCAATTAAAAAAATACAAACTTTATCGATATCAATTGAACTTATTATTTTTGATATAAAATAGTAGAAAAATCCCTTTGTGATGATAATAGAATATAATCAATCACAAATCCTAAATATCAATTAAATATATCTTATATAAATGTTCCAATTTTTAATAGTCAAACATTGTCAATATATGAGTTTAAAATACGAAGGAAATAATAATACATTCACGATTGAAACAATAAATTTAATCTTAATCTGTTTAATGCGAGCTAAAAAATTTTGGACTGAAATGATAATAAAATTATTATTGATTTTTGCCTTTAATAAAGCCTTCTATATTTATGCAAAATTCTTTTCCTCGTTTGTATTCACAGAATATTTCATTATTCGACAATATTTGTCCCTAATAGAACATAACAAGATAACAAAGTTAATCCTCTTCATTTCAAGTAACGAATCGCTTCGAGTGAGAACGCAGGATCACTCGAACACTTTGGGCCGTGAGGATGACGAAGGCGTTTCGATCGGCGCCTTCCCACGAATCGCCGACTTTTCTGACAGGTGCATTATTCGATTATCGCGCCTATCCGGCATTCCATCGCGATGATTCGATTCTCGATTTCTCGAAACGTTGATGATCAAACGTTCGATTAACGTCGTTTCGACGACGCACAACCGCCATTAACGCGGTAAATCGAGACCTGAGCGGCGGCACGCGATCGGCATAGCCGCTTCTCGTGACCCGGATTCGAAGTCGTGATTCCTGTTCTAATGGGACGTTATCGGCGATACGATTGCCTGCCGGGATTACCTGGCTGGGAATCTGCCTCCCACGCGAACACCGTGGTTCGTATCGATTATGAAACGAGGATTATATGCACACGACGACGGCTAATAAAGCGCGGTCTCCTTTTTTGCCGGCGCGGGTGCGTTCCAGTCCAATTAGGATTCCTCGGGGATACAGAGAATGATTTAAGAAAAATTGCTACCGGTATTTTCATGGGAGAGCCTGGCGGAGATCTAGAGTAAGTGATACCGAGCTTGATATATGGATCTGGTTATGTACGAGTTCCATTTTTTTAATCGAAATGTTAGAGTTACCGAGTTGAATATTGTGCCTGTGGTGAACTACTTCTCGAATTTTTTCCCCTTCGCGGAGAGCAAGTAGCTTCTGTGGGAAATTGTTGTCGATATTTTTATAGAATAGAGTACACGGTTTTAATTATAAATTTACGAAACGTTGAGTCATAAGAGATTTAAAATTTTGAGATTTGAAAAATCTCCTAGGGAAATCCTAGGGAAATCTAATTGCATGACCTGCACCACCGATACTATTAAAAAATATTGCATTGCATTAAAACATCGGTGTGCAACGATAAACGGAAGAACGGAAGAAAATATTCCAAATATGTTTCCGATTTACGATATCAATCGTAATCTCATCTCTTGCGGTCTTCTTCAAGGGGTAAGCGCTGTTTCTCGAAGAAGCCTTCGCCCGTCGCGCCATCCCCGTAACCTGTTCATCGTTAAAACATCCGTGAGCGAGATTAAAGCAACAGAGAAGGAGAGAAATACATTCCTACCGGCGCGTACCTGCACGAAAACGCTGGAAACAGGTTTGCGAGGGGCAGAAGGACTCGCCCCACGCTATCATTCCTCTGCCCACTGTAAAAAGATTAATCATCCCGAGTGGAATCTAACATTGCAAGATTAGAGAAAAACGCGTATCGAAATTCGAGATAATTTAACAAATAATTTAACATCGAGAATTTAACGCAGAAAGCGTATCGTGTACACGCGTTATCTGCAATCCCGGTCAGGAATCGCCATTAAAGATCGGAAAGTAATACACCTTCGTAAAAAAGAGTTCGAACGAGGCTCGTGAAACAAGCCAAAGGTGATAAAGCAGAGAGAATTGCTCCTCTTAAGCCGGGCAAAACTCCGAACAAACGAGGGAAAAAATGATCGAGATAAGCGAGGATCGATCGTTCGACGCGCTTTCATCCCGAGAAAGGACAGGGCCGGCAGAGACTGGATAGGGCTCGGCGAGCAGAATTCTCATCGGGTCCCTTCCCTTATTCCCCGCTTCGTCCTTGCGCCTAGACCCGCCGTCTCCTCCTCGTGTACCACTGTCTCTGTGTATACAAACGCGTGTATACATATATATACACACACACACACACACACATATCCGGGGAGGAAGAGAAAAAAAGATCGATCCTCTCGGTTGTGTGCCGCGCGGAGAGCTGGCCGCGTGCAGGATCGACGTGCCGTGAGCGCGCTCGCTCGTCTCACCAGGGTGGGAGATACGAAGGTATAAAACCGATCTGGCCGACTGGTGGCAGCCAGTCCAAAGGCCAGATGTGGCGGCGGCTCTAGTCGCACGCG